CTCACACAGAGCCAAGGCCTTTGCTGCTCCTCACCCCACCCCACCAGCGAGCAGGCTGGGGGTGCACAAGGAGTTGGGAGGGGACACAGCCGGGACAGCTGACCCCAACTGACCAAAGGGACATTCCATACGATATGATGTTATGCTCAGCATATAAAGCTGGGGGAAGAAGAAGGAAGGGGGGGATGCTCAGAGTTACAGTGTTTGTCTTCCCAAGTCACCGTTACATGTGATGGAGCCCTGCTTTCCTGGAGATCGGTGAACACCTGCCTGCCCATGGGAAGTGGTGAATGAATTCCTTGTTTCGCTTTGCTTGCGTGCTTTACCTATTAAACTGTCTTTATCTCAGCCCACAAGTTGTCTCACTTTTACCCTTCCAATTCTCTCCCCAGTCCCGCCACTGGGCAGGGGAGTGACTGAGTGGCTGCGTGGTGCTTAGCTGCCAGCTGGGGTTAAACCATGACACATAGCTCTATATTAATCTTGTGTTTTCATTCATTTTTCTTTTAACAATAAACCCTGAAATTGTGACAGAGTTTATTAGAGAGCATACTACTTATTTCTATTATTACTTCAATTTTTATGTGAAAATATTATCAGTGTTTTAGTTTATTTTGCTTCTGTTTCTTTAAAGCTTTGACAAAAGAGTTAAACCAAGGAACAGGGATTGTTCTAACAGGTGAAGCAACTGGAACTGAAATTCACTGAAACAATAAATAGCTTTCCATCGCTGTAATCTCTTCTGCAGGTACAGAAGGAATACCTCACTTTAGGCTGGTTCAGTTTAGTGCAACCCAAACACAGTTCCTTCAGAGTTTTGAAAGATATGTGAGGCTGAAATCCACTGCTTAAAATTTTTAAGATGACATAAAGATTAGAGAAAGTCAACTTCATTTATTAACAACTAATGACACTTCCCTTCCAAAATATATTTTGTACATTATATTTTCCTTCATATATCTAGTGGCTTAAAATAGTAAGAAGCTATTTTGTTTTCCATGTTTTAATTAAATTTCCATTTCAAACCAGCTTTGATACAAATCATGGCTATAAACCTAACCATCTAGTAAATAAGAGATGTCACTGCCTATTTTCCAAAAGTAGAAGATACAAACATTAACCATATAAATATATTATGTTAATTTATGTATTTGTTTAATAACTTATACAGTCTTCATTTTATTAGCAAAAAAATAATACTAAAATTGATCTACAGGCTTTATTTAGAGGATAATCAAGATATTAATTGTTTACAAAACAATATGAATTTACTTTTCTGTATGAAATTAAATACAAATATGAGACAATGACTAAATTTATTCTTTAAAACATGTTCTGCTACTTACTGATTTAAACAAATCTGTGCCAAAATCTCACTATACTACAATGCCTGTGACCACAGAAAATTGTATTTATTTGTTCATTTATATGGATAAAGTCCAACTGCATTTCTCTGAATTGGTCAGAAATAAAAAGGGGAAAATATGACAGAAAAATATGTAAGCATTTGAAATGAACATTGATGATACTAGTGAAACATATAGCACCTTAAGCACAGACCAGGCATTTCCGCTATGGAAACCAAAGAACACGGTGAAAGTAAAACAAATTCAAGAAGAGACAGTGGTCTTTGTACGTGCATACAACTTTGGAAAGCTGCAACTACTTTGTCGATAAACACTGAAGATGCATGAATATTATTAGATCCACGTTTGCATGAAAAGCTTTATCAGAAAAGAATGCTAAAAATAAACTGGATGCTGGGGAGAAAAGAAAGAATCCTGAAAGAATGTGACAGATGAAGGAAAAATATTTGGATTCACCACTGCTACAGTAGAAAAAGAGAACAAGAGCAGTTTTAAGCCTACAGGAGGCATTTCCATTTAGCAGAGAATAATTAGGCTCCATTCTTTAAATCGGCTTCTTCAAGGGCCAGGACTGAGTGAAGGAATAAAGAGAAAGCAACTATTAAGCCATAAACTGTTAGGTTATGAGCTAGAAGAGCAGCTGGGTTTCTGAAGATAAGACGTCCTTAGTGAGTGTTCAGAGAGTGTTAACATGAATGATAGAATTAGAATTAGTTTGCAAAAAGAGCATGTTAAAAATATTTTCAACAACTTCCATTTAAAATAACTTCCTCTCTTCCATTTTTCCAAGACCAGTTTTGGTAATTATTATGAAAGGCTATCATTTATAAAAATCATCAACGCTATCTTTTAATTTCAAATTTTAAAGCTCTCTCTTTTATTACCTTTTACCTTCCCCACGCAAGAAATATGACACCTACGTAAAACATGTGTTTCTTCAAAGAAACAATTTTTGTAGGAATACAACTTAAAATTATTCTCTCTCCCTGCCACTGAAAGTTGTTAGGAATAATTATAAACAGATTTATGTAACTAGATGGACAGAAAAATTCCTGGAGTGCTTTAAGGGGCTTATTTTCCCAAAATAAATAGCACAATTAATTCTGATTTCAGACAGACCATACCATTTAAAATCAAACCAGTAAAATCAACAGCAGTTCATTTCCTTCTTTGTTACAGAAACCACAGCAGATGAGAAGGATTGTTTACTAATGGCCACATTACAAAACACAAATTAAT